ACTATCTGCCCCGGAATACGAAGTGGTTGGTAAACAGTTGGTAAGCAGTTTATGTGCTTTAATAATAAGGAACTTGATATAGCTAGCTCTACTTTAAAGTCAGCTTACTAGAAGATGATAAATATGTAGTTAATAAATAATTAGTCAATGCTCGATAAATGGTAAACAACTGATTAATCACTTTTATATATGTATATTTCTATTCCAAGCCGCTCGGCTTGAAACAAAGCTTAAGCATCCAAAGAAATCAGATGTATATCTATTGCTATTATAATATATATATAACCAGGATATGATATATTAGAGATATTATATTATAGTAAGTATTAATATCTTTTAACTACTTATCAATCAATTTGTTGACGTTCTTGAATTCGAATCCGCCGCTCCATAAGGTCAAGCTCTAATTTCTCATTCTCAAGCTGTTTCAAACGAATCTCCTCCTCTTGCTTTTTAATATCTATCTCTTTCTGTTTAACATCTACCTCTTTTTGTTTAATATCTACTTCAAGATTTCGAAGCTCAAGCTCTTGACGTCTTTGCTCCAATGTCAAAGCATTTGTTGATGCAACACGGCGAAGATCCTGTGAAGATCTCATCGATCTAATCGGTTACTGAGTATTTGTCAACCGTTTAATAAGTACTTGGGACCTTACTCATTGTCACCATTCTGTGAAGGAGATTGGGTGCAGGACCTTGTATCTCTTTGAGATGATCGAGATCGTGATAAAGCAGATTGAGTCTCAGAGGTACTAGATGAAGAGGACCATTGACGTTTGCGACTATCTATATTAATAAAGTAGTTAATAAGTGTTTGTTGAGCAGTTAATTATCACCTTAAATACTTACTTTCTCGACTCATATGACGAATATAATTGGCTTCCATATTTGATGTCCGATATGAATGATGGACATTAAATTGTCTGAAATTATTATATTGAAGAATATCCTCTTTATCCAATTTTGCAGAACTAGTTATAAAACTTGTAATTAGTATTCTATAGTATAAGTACTTTATAAGTGGTTGTTAAATACTTACTTTTTCAATGCTTCGACCAAGCTTAAATACTTGCCCGATGCGTATGATTTCTGATGAGATTGTTCAACAGCATTTGTATGATTCTGTAAGTTATCAAAATAATGAGGTTGAATCTTTGAGCATGCTTTATTTAAGCCTGCTTTTATAATAGCGCTTTTCTTTTGTATTGCCCAATTTTGGACATCCATAGACTCATATTCTAATAAGTAGTTAGTAACCAGTTATCAGCCAGATGATAAATATTTAAATACTTATCAACAAGTCAATCAAAGTATCATAATCAGCCTCTGATGTACAATCTAATAGACTCATCATGCGACTCCAAAGAGGGGAACCTTGACCTCGAGTTCCAATGATCTTCAGAATTGACCGTTGAAAATGAACACGGCAAAATATAATTATATGCTGTAATTGCCATGTCACATCTCGATGTCGAGGGTCAATTTCAGAAAGATATTGACCAAGTCCTAAGTACTTAGCTAGTATTTATTAAGTGGTTAACACATACGTACCTGTATATTGTTTGGTATCCATATCAACAATAATACCATGGATCCCAGAGCCATGAATTGAATCAAAAAGAACTGGCTGCTGAGAGACTTTTTGAATAAGATTGAAAACTCGTTTAAAAAGTAAATAATAACCCTCGGTGGAATCTTCACTAGTGAACACACGCAGTAAAGTAATAACTAGTTGAAAAGCGGTTAGAAACTGCTATTCAAATACTTATTAAGTACTTACTTTTGCATTGATCTGGGAAAAAGGTTGCAAAAAGCACCTCATTCATGTTTTTAGACCGGATTCGCTTGCAAGACATATTGACCTCGAAGGAAGAAAGACGAGATAAAAGTTGAATCTGTTCTTTAAAGCCACACAGAATCATAGTACCCTGGGCGTCATGATACTGCTCTTGTATATAGTCCTAGATACTTAATAAGCATTTGTTAACTGGTTAATAAGTACTTTAAAAGTACCTACATGTACATGTCGATCGATATTTTGAAGAAAGATAAGACTATTAATATCTTGTCCATTAGGATATGAAAGAAGATGTTGTTTCTGAATAATTGTTGCAATCCTGTCTTTATTGCAAAAGCTGGAGTGGACCTCTGCTAGTGTAGAACCATTATATTGTTGACAAAATGCCTCTAGTTGTGGATTTCGAAGAAATTGTGCTAAGTTACTAATTAATAAGGACCTTAAAACCGGTTATTAAGCACTTACCAGCAGTTAAACTTGGACCTTGTATATCTTGAATTATTTGTTTTACTACTCGTAGGATTCGTTCTGGTGGTTTAGTTGGGGGCGGTGGTGGATGTTTATGTACACCATGCGATGTAAATAATACATATGGACATTGGCTAAGGTCCACAGGTACTAAAGCATTGAAAATAACATCGCAGAATATATGTTTTAATCGGCCTGAGCCTTGAGGATGATCTCGGTCTGTAAGTAGTTAGTAACTGGTTATTAAGCGGTTGATAGGCACTTACCACAATATTTTCGTCGGGATGATAGAGATTCAAACACACCACATTCTTCAGTTGCCGGTATAATCTCTTTATTAAAGAGATCCTCAAGAAACTGCAGATCAATGACCGTATGGCCTTGAATTGCTCCTCTATGATGTTTTGTCAAAAAATCATTTGATTCATTTATACAGCTAATATAGGGTGTATATTCGCCATGAACATTCTAAAGCAGTTAGCAAGCACTTAGACAACATTTTTAAAGTGTTTATAACCAACCATTTGACTATATCTCTTGAAAACTGGCTTACAAGTGGGAAGCTGATCAATACAGGCATGGCCTCTCTTGAAGAAGTTCACTTTTGATCGATAGTAACTATAAGCAGTTAGTAACCAATTAATAAGCAGTTGGGAATATTAAAATTACCTGTATGCATTTCGCTTACCAAGATCTGTTTCTAAGATCTGAGTCTCTTTCTGAGCTTTCTGAATTTCTTGCCAAATACTTTCATCCACAGATGTATGATGATAAGATTGCAACAATGGATTTAAATATTCACATGCGTTGACTCCAGAGCATTTCCAGGTCCATTTTTTAACATGACACTTGAAAAATGGACAATAAACAGGTCGTTTCTGCCCATACAGCTGCCTTCTTGCATATTGAATCTAGAAGTACTTAGCAATCAATTATAAAGTATTTAACAAGTACTTACCTCATGTACGACTTGCTCCATTTCAGTTTGTGATCGTCCCCTTGAAGAAACAACATACGAATATCCCTTTATATGGCTAGTTGGGTACTCTGGTAGATCATCGATATATTCAACTTTCAGTGTAGTAAGGCAAGGGCCTTTAGCACTTGTAAGTGGAATTGGAATAGCTGGTTCCTATACTAAGTGCTTAGCAATCAATTAATAACTGCTTATTATGTACTTATATACCTCAATATCTGGGTCAATATCTAGATACGAATCAAAAGGCTCGTCCACGTCAATGACAGAATGGTTAGAATCCATTATCACAAAGAATATATCAAAGCTGCTTTGTAACTGATTTGTAACTGCTTAAGGTTTCCCAAAATATTGTAGTGGAAAGAACGTAGGGAAGAAAATGAATTTCAGATGTAAGTGTACAGTATTTAAAAGATTATGCGAGTTGTTTGTGCTTATTAATAGCCTTGGCGGTCACGTGAAAGAGATGTGTCCCACATAAGCTCTTCGGAAAGCTCAGTTGGGCTGTGTGCTCCGCGGCCGACGTCAGCCGGGGGGGTAAATGGCGGGCTGGGTGAAGTTTAGAGGGTTTCAGGCAGCTTCAGGCGAGCTTTGGGTGAAGAGGGTGAAGGATGAAAATAGGGCATGAAGAACAAAAAGAATAAGAAAAACATACAACAGCCGGGATTCGCTGGTGGTCACCCACCCAACTACTAACCGGCCGGCGTGTGGCTTAAGTACGGCTGAGCGGACGGGAAGCCCTGTTTTCCACACCCTATGGTCGTATGTATTAGACGTAAATCATATTAGAAATATGTAATTTGTAGCTATAATTACCAAATCTCATAGAACCATTGGATTCTTGAACCACGAGATTATTAGGATTTTGAGATGGCCAATTCCTCCCGATTATTTTAAAAACAGGGGGCACGTGGAGGCCTTGGATAGGATATTATAGTCTTATTTACTAGCCGCAATTTCGGTTGCTCCGTGGCCCTGTTGCCTTATTTTACCCCGTCCATTAAGCTTAGCCGATATCATATATAAACTCACCTGGAAGCGAGCATACTTGCCGTAAACACCACATCTGATCCCTTTACTATGTCAACGAATAAGCATAGTCGCGTTGAACTTCTATAGTGGAACGCCGCCCCTCTCCCTTGTTTGACGAATCACCCAGAGCAATGGAATGGATACATCATGCTCCTTGCAGTCATATCAGGAAGTAGCCGGGGATAAGTGCCAACCAGAATACCACTAGGTTTTCCAATAGGAAGTCCTCGCCGGCCAATTAGATTAGAGCTAGATTTAGAGCTCTGATTCCAGACGCCTCAGCTATCAAACCGCCGATATTCGCTCATTAATATGGATCAGCAGGAGTCTTTCAAAAACCCTGTTTAAAAACTCTGCGATCAATTAGTCTTCTAGAATCAGACCAATTTACCTAATTGGGATGCGTACCTCTTACTGACTACTAGGATTACTAGTCAGAACAGACTCCCGCACGTTAGATAGATAGATAGTAAGTAAGACTAAACCCACGAATCCCGGTTGTTGTATGTCCCGTCAATATTCGCTCATTCATTGTACTCGATGATTTGTTTTGTAAATTAGATCATGATTAGACAACCAAGGCTATTCATCTGTGCACCTTTTAAAGAGAGATGCTGCCGGATGATCCTTACTTTTTTACCTTAAGCCTGAGAGGTTCTATAGAATGAATGTTCTTCTCATCTAAAGCCCCAAAATTTGGGGCTAGTCCAAAAAAAGAATGAATGAAGGTCGTGCCCGGGTTCGAACCGGGGACTAAGGAACATTTCCCAATTAACGCCGTTGTAGACGAGGCAATTGGCAATGGTCAAAATCCTTCGTGCTAACCACTACACTACACGACCGATTAATTGGTTAGGCTGAACTTTGAAAAATACTTGACCCCATTCACATCAAAAATGACACATTTCGCCATACTAAATATACTCCTCTTTCGGTAGGTAGAATACACAAAAACATCATGTAAGAGTTCTTCTACCAATATCTTTTTAGACCTCATTCACGCTACTACAGTATCAAGAATAATTTGAGCGACCTTGACGATACAACCCTCAAACAAAACAAACTGGTTGTAAAGAAAAGGAAGGGGACGGCCGTGAGATTGGAATTAGTTCCAGCGAGTATTGCCGAACACTACTGACCGCCTCGATGACCGGTTCACGGTACCTTTCCTTACCCTAGCTGCTAGTCTATAATTAAAATCCACTCCATTTTCTCAGAGATTTCCAGATAAGAGTTCAGCGTCCGGTTTTAGCAAGAGACAACCTGCACGCTAAACGTCCTTAGATTGTCGGAGAATATAGTCGGCCCCGAATTAATTGCGGACGCGGGGGAAAACTTCCTTTTTTTTTTTTATCTTACCGTGACTCACCCACGCATGCATGCACCGGAAACCGCAAGGTTTTTGCTTTCAAGAGCTTTTCTAGACCGCAAAATAAAGAAATAAAAATAGAGAAATATGAACGCCGACGAACGATTTGCGCTCATCACGGAGAATCTCCAAGAGGTTCTTAATCCGGATGTGATCAAGACTATCCTTGCTGATGGCGGAAATCCTAGAATTTACTGGGTAGTTATACCTTCAACAAGATCTCCCCATAACGATTGGACACTGCTAATATTTTCTTCCACCAAAGGGAACGAGCCCAACCGGTAAACCTCATTGTGGATATTTTGGTACGAATGGCAATCTTTGAATCGATTCACAATCTCGACCAGTCGTTGCTTTGCTAACCGGTCTGTATTATATAGTACCGGCAGTGAAAATTGCACAGTTCTTGGCAGCTGGTTGTGAGGTTACAATTTTAATAGCAGATATTCATGCTTTCTTGGACAACCAGGTTGGTTTTGGAACCCTTATCAAAGATAGGTTGGGACTAACTATGTGATAGAAAGCGCCTATCGAGCTTGTTGAATATCGGGCAAAATACTATGAGTTTACAATCACCGCTATGCTTCGGGCCGTGGGTGTGTCAACCGAGAAGCTTCGTTTTGTCCTTGGTAGTTCCTACCAAAAAAGTCCGGAGTATATCATGGATGTGTATAAATTATGCTCGTTGGTCTCGGAGCATGATGCAAAAAAGGCTGGTGCTGAGGTAGTCAAACAGTCGGACAACAGCCCCCTCTCAGGACTCCTGTACCCAATTCTCCAAGTGCTCGATGAGGAGTACCTCCAGGCTGATGTACAATTTGGAGGTACCGTTGTTTCCTTATCCTTTATGATTCCTCTCTAGAAAGCTGACCTAGAGTAGGACTGGATCAAAGAAAGCTCTTTGCAGCATCCACAGAATGGCAACCCAAGGTTGGCTACAAGAAGGCAAGCACTAATATGTATAACCTTGGTCTGCTGTGGCCTCGTGGCTTATATCATTTTTAGCGTGGTCACTTGCTTAATCCGATCGTCCCCGGTCTTTCTGGTGGTAAAATGAGTTCCAGTGAAGAAGGTATTTAACCGTACAAACTGTCAGCTTTTCAGCGACCTACTAACACTGACTAGATAGCAAAATTGATCTCCTTGAGTCGGTAGAGAGTATCAAGAAAAAGTTACGCAAAGCCCAGGCTGCACCACAACAGATTGAAAATAACGGAGTTCTGGCTTTTGCGCAATATGTCCTTCTTCCGGCCTTAGCCTTACGAACTGGACAACCCGAGTTCCGTGTCAGCCGTGAAAGAGATGGCTTAGCGCCACTTGTCTACACCAGTATTGAACAGATACAGGAGGATTACAAGAAAGACATAGTAAGTCTATTTTACTATAAATTTAGTTATTCCCGTACTAATCTCTCTCCAGTTGACACCACAACTATTGAAGCCTGCCGTGGCAGACGCTCTTATTGAGCTTACGGCACCGATCCGCGCCGCATACGAAGCCTCCCCTGAATGGCAGGACGTAATTCTGAAAGCTTATCCGCCGCCGGTTCAGAAGGAGAAGAAGAAGAAGCAGAAGGATAAGGGATCTCGTTATCCCGGCGCTGGAAGTGGTCAGACTCCCAACCAGGCAAAGTCAGAAGAACAAGCAGAGGTATTGAACTAATTGCTAGACGTACTGTATAGAGCTAGATACAGGTTATCTACATGATCACTTACACAGGTCCCTGTTTCTAATAACCCCCTTTTCAAGGGCTGCGCAACTATCACTGAAGCCAACGCCGCCAACAACCTTTTCTTATACCGTAGTATATAAGTTGATAGGGAGATTAACCCCACCCCAAATCTTTTGCATCCCACTAAAGGAAATGTCAATACACTGCAGTGGACTGAACAGACAACAAGTTGTCTTATTTTGAACGTGATTTAATATAGCCGTGCAACCGTACATGTTTTCTCCACTTCAATTCTATCCTCTCTCTGCCGGGGTAAACAAGTACCAAAAAGCCATGTCTTCGCGCAAACTCGTGGTGTTTCTACGTAGTTGTTTGGAATGATGCCACTGTAAAGCTCAGTATATAGATTAGTGTCTGATCATACCCAGTACATACGACCATAGGGTGTGGAAAACAGGGCTTCCCGTCCGCTCAGCCGTACTTAAGCCACACGCCGGCCGGTTAGTAGTTGGGTGGGTGACCACCAGCGAATCCCGGCTGTTGTATGTTTTTCTTATTCTTTTTGTTCTTCATGCCCTATTTCGTCCCTTCACCTGAAACTCACCCAAAGCACCTGAAGCCCACCCAATACTCTTCAGCCAGTTATCAGTGCCTACGTGACCCTACCGCCTTTCGGCTAGGGGGTGCACCACACCGTACGGGCATTTCACACCGTAAAGGCAAAATTGATGTTATTCCCACTATCTATCGCCGTTCTCCTTAGTATCTATCCAAAAGACCTCATTCTCCTGTTGCGCTGCCACTGCTGCATCCGAAAATGTAGATTTCATCCCTGTATCCACTGTGGGTGGTGATTGACTTTATATTTTTTTTCTGCTACATATCTAATCTTCTTTTCTCCTGTAAAGCTTCTTTTTCTCTCCTGATCTTCATTGATCAATTAGTATTTTTTGTATTAAGTATACCAGAATTACTAAGCTTCAGAATCTGTTCCTTAGTGATTTGGCGCCTCCGGGGCTCTTGTATCTGTCTTATTCGACCGATTGTATCGCTCATCATCGCAAGTTACTCTACCTGTCTTTTCTGATGTTGTAACGCACGCTGTAGGCCTCGCTGGAGCTTCAGAGTAAGCTCCTCGATAGAAAAGATCTTAGAGCTTTTTCTGGTTTTCAAGATCTTGGGCACTCTTTTTGGGGGGGGGGGGGGGGGGATATTTTCAATGCTAGAAGAGGAAAGATTTGGTGGTGGCGTGGTTTCCCTATACGCGCGAAGATCCGGTGTATAGAGCTCTGGCACTGGAGGAAGAGCTTCTTGAAGCTTTTGAATAATAGAAGAGCCATCTGAAGGGAATATTCCACGTTCTTTGAAAGAATTTCGGATAATTCGCTGGTTAAAAGTCTTGTTTCCTACGTTAACGATATCCTTAAGAAAATCCACTTTGCTCGCGGGAAGTCCACCCCCTTGAGCAATAAGATTATATTGCTGGCGAAAATGCTGTTTATAGGCAAGGAAAGGCTTGCCATCAAGAGGCTGGCAAATATGAGTCATATGAAGCATAAAACAAAAAGGAATAATGTGGAATTCAGAGAGTTGTAGGAATTCAACAGTCTTATGAGACTCATGGCCGTCGAATATCAACACACATTTTCCCCCTTTTTTCGTCCAATCTTTTGTTGCCTCGTGGAATTTTTGAAGCCTTCTAATAGCGAGTTTATTGTTGATGTATTCTTTTGAAGAAACAGCCGTCCAAAACTATGGTAGATCAGGATGATCATACCAGCTTTCCATAAACTTCTCGCCCTTGAAAATAAATAGCGGCTCCATAATCCACCCATTAGCAGCGATACACTCGATTGCAGTGATATTTTTAGTATGATCAAACTCAGCAAGATCAGGGCAACATCCCTTTGTGCCAATAAACTTACGAGCTCTTCCCTGGCCAGGCTGGAGGCCACATTCATCGAAATTATAGACCAGGTGAGGAGAAAGGCCACTGATCACATTCCCAAGCTAATTATACCAATACTGTAGAAATCCAATATCTTCTGTATCAAGACACTTCTTGTCCTTTGTTTTCTGAGTCACAGGGCCTAATTTAAAGATGCGCTGGCAGTTTCTTCTCAAATAGATATGCCCACATCTTGCTAACGCGCTGATCCGACCCGGCGCGAAAGAGCGCGAGATTTGCCCAGTCTCTAGCCATCTTAGGAGTGACGGGAAGATATAAATCACACATACAAGCAATCCACTGGACTAGAGCTTTCTCCTGATACTCTTCAAGGGCTTTATTGATAGGTGTGCGGGTCGTACGGGCTTGTTTTCCATCATGAAGTCGACCATAGAGTGTGCGATAAGGAACGCCAAATTCTCGCGCAATCTTCGCTAAATTCGGCTTTTTTTATACGTGTTTCACGTTCTTCGGCTACTTTAGGCATATTAGGTGGATGGGAATAAGCTCAAGAGTATAGAAGAGTGGAATTTTGCCTTTACGGCGTGAAATGCCCGTACGGTATGGTGCACCCCCTAGCCGGAAGGCGGTGGGGTCACGTAGGCACTAATACCCTGCCTATCCCTTGTTCGGCTTACATGTCCTATTCAGTGTCCTTTTTGTCTCACTCAAACCCCCATTATACAAGCAACTTACTAAAATCACTGGACCCACTCCACTGTCCCCATATCGCTTTATAATGGTGTTCATAATCTGATTCATGAAGAAACTCTAGTTACTTCTGCGCGGTTTAGTTTGCTATAGTGTAGTAGTCGAACATCCAGTGCAACCTGGCCTATTATGTGATGTCAAA